TAATTATCGAAGCTATAGCAAAAGAAAAATCAGATTATGAAGTAAATTTACAAAATGCAACAAATGAAATGCAGGAATGTAAAGATTTTTTATATAAACAGTGTATGGCGATGAAAGATGCATTTGAATTAGGACGAACACTTGCTGGAACAATCGGAAAACAGATTATCGAGGATATCAGTCGTCTTTTACAACGCAGAATGGAAAAAAATATAAAAGAAGATATAGTTAGAAGTGAATTTATCAATCATGAGGCTATACAAAAACAAGCCTACGAGGAAAGCTTTAATCAAGCAGATGGTGAAAATATTCTTAAATATATTGATGATATTAATCGATATTTTATTGAATTAAGCTTAAAAGAAATTAAAACAAAAGCCGTTGCTGTAACACATAAACATGTATTAAAGTTGCAACATTTTATTATTTTGGCAATCGATAAAGCGAATGAAGTTGTTCAACAAGGCCAATATTCAAACACTAGTAGTGTAAGAGATGATGTGCGGATTGCAATACTTAATCTATCTAAATTAAAACTGGGAGAATCAGCTGATACAGAAATATTTCGAATGTTTTCATTGAATAATGTTTTACATATGCAAATTAAAGACAGCGAACGTTTTAAAAAAGGGTTCGCCAGTATTCGTGATAATTATAACGGTATTGAAGAAGGAGTCGACGATTTGACGAAAAAAATGAAAGCTGTAGCATTTGAGAGTTGTAAACAAAGCATTGCACAGAAACTTGGTTGTCAAGCACGATGTCCTGGATGTGGTGCTAAATGTAGCAAACCAGAGCCTCACGACAAAGAAGAGGTTGAAGTCTGGGAAAATCCTTGTAAAAAGTGTTCACCAAATCAATGCACGTGTACACATCCTGAAACAAGATCTGTTAAAACTCATGAAAGTACATATCATTTGGCAGGTGCATTTCATGGGTGGGTATCTCACCCACTACATACACCGTGTCTTCGATTATGTTATCAGCATTGGACAACAAGAGGCGTTTATGTAGGAAAACAACGCCAACCGAATAACTTGCAGAATGCAAAGAGCGACGAGACTGAAGATGAAGATGAAATTATATTTCCAAAAGCTAAATATTATAATGAAAGACATCCAGCATGGTATAATAACTTAAAAAAACAATCAACAGAAGGTAATACATGCAATGAGTTGATTCCACCACCTGATCAAAGACGTGCTTGGATGGTTGTTCGTCATGCAATTATTAATCGTCGTAACGGTTCTATGATTGACAACAAAGAATATGATGATAAATTATATCCATTAAATGCTGATACTTTACCAGCAGATTTCGAGCCAGTATGGAAAGACGAAAATTTTGAATAAACATATTTTATATTTACAAATAATAGATGATTAATCAAATGCATACAAGAGTTGTTCAAAAATACTTATTAGACTTTGTGTATTTCATTTGTATTCAAGCATATTTTACTGCACTTTGCCTGTAGTTAGAAGTTTTTGCACGAATAGTATAATACTTTTTTTTTTCTTAGAGTGATTGCACAAAAATCTTATCATAAACAAGAATAAACTCTTATTTTTAACTCCTTTATTCTCTTTCTCGTAGAGAAGAGTCCAGTAAGAATAAATTGTCTGCTTGCTTGTGTGTCCGCAGAGTCAAAAAAACATCGAAAACCGATTTTTCACGGTTTTATCATATTAAGCAACATGAGTATTTTCCTCACTCAACTGAATATTTAAACTTTTTTATATATAAACCTCTCTCCAATATTTAACTGCTGACTCTTGCGCTGCATTATATTTTAGTATGTAATAACAATCGAAGGAAGAAAAAACATTTTTTTTTGTTCTGCCACGTGGCGAGTCGAGAAGAAAACATTTACGCTTAGAAATAAGCAAGTAATTGCGAAACATTGATGAAACATTCTGACACATGACTAACGAATGTATATAAATATAAATATATATTTATTTATGATAAAAGTAGAGTTTATCACGGAATAAATCAATACTCAAATGGCATACAGTGACCTACCAGCACATTTATTCAAATCACTTCATCTATCCAATCCAAAAAGTTATAACGTCTATCTAGTTGGATCTCGTCTATGGGGAACAAATACTGATAAAAGCGATTGGGATGTTCTGATCGTAGGTGATGTATCATCAGAGCAGCTCAGTAGCCTCCACAAATCTCAATATGATATTAAATTGCTTGATCGACAAGAGTTCATAGCACGAGCGAAACAAGGTTCTATTATAGAAGTTATCTGTGCTCTACTGCGCAAAGAAGATATGTTGCAATGTGCTTTTGATATTGGCAATCTATCAGTGGACTCAGACGCTATAAAAATATGGTTGCAAGAACGACAAGTCAAAGATTTAGCAAAAGCAGAGAAATTTTGGCAGAAAGGAAATCGACAATCCGGCTGGAAAATTCTCAGACATATTCTACATTCAAGAGCCCTCTACAATTATCTCGCTGATGTCCTTCGTGAGCAACAAGTAACTCTTTCTACCAACGATGTACAGACTATTGTACGCTCTGTTACATACCTATGTGACAAGAGTTGGATGCAACTAGACTGGTCCGACGTGTATACGGCTGTGATCGATGCACTAGCACAGTTATAGTGTGATTTGTTTTTTTGTTTGGGTATTTTTAATAAATTATAGTACGAGAATGAAAATATGAAATTTTTTTAAAGAAATCTTGGTTATTTATGTAATAATTTTAAATCATTCTTACGGAATATCTGTCTTTTGAAACAGCCTGATTCTTGTTTTCCAACTAATTATAATGCTCAAAATCATATTCACACGTTCTGATTTACTTTTCTTTATTATAATAAACTCGATGATTGCCTTTGAGTAAATTGATAAAACGAAAAAAATAAAATATATGCAAGATATTTTATTCATTTAGATGATACTGTACATATGTATAAAATTAATTATTTATTCAACATCAAATGCAACGGTTGGTGCATAAATTGTAACTAAAATGATAGTTGATAGTTATACAATTTAATCATCTAGTTTATACATGTGTAAAATATGAAATATCTAATCCATATTACAGTGATTTCTTAAATATTCGTAAATAATAATGATTTTATCTTTGCGTATAACACTGTATGTTTCTCAAAAGACGATTTTTCAGATTTATATATCACAACTACATGAAAGAGCAAGGTAATAAATAATTACAACGATAATATAACGTTTTTACATTTGTATAATCTCTTCATCTATTTAATTAAAGAAAAAAAAAACTGACTTCCATCAATTATATTTCAAACGATCATATAATTAAGAAATCAAAAGAATGATGAGAATATCAATCATGAACTGTCGGTAAATGATACATAATTTTCTTCTTCACATAGTACTTACATAAAAAAGATTCTTTTACTTGAATAAAATAGAAAATATTTGTCTGAAGTGAATAAAATAAAATGGATTCAAAAAAGAATCAAGTAAAACGTTTCTTTTATATATATATTTTATATAAATTTCTTTGAATTATAAATCTAGACAAACTATTGTTCAAAAATAACAGTATATCTAAAAGCAACATGTTCAGTATTTGCTATGATTCTAATAAGTACAATACTTTGGATTATCGGTTGTGAAATATTATGGCATGGAACATGGCGTATAGAAGATATTTATCAAGCGGTAGGATTTATTTGTATTTATTTAATTTCTATCGATGTATATGTATTAGAAAAAACAATTTTATATCTATAAAATAATTATTCTAACAATTTTTCTTGGTTTTGGAATAATAATGGTTATTATTTCTGCATCACTTGTTTTATTTGGTATACCATTTACAGTATTTCATATCGATCATTTATTTAATCGACGACGTATAAAAATATCAAATACACCGACGGTTGAAAATAATAAATTACAAAATCAAAGTAAATAACATAAAGGAATTATTTAATGTTCCATTATTTTATAATTAGATTCAAAACAAGCATTTATATGGGCAATTAGCATTTTTGTATTAGTTATTATTGGTCTCGGAATCGGAGGAATCGGTTGTGAAGTAGTACATTGGAGTGGATTAAAATTTCGAGCATTATTTAAAAATGTAAGTCGATAATATATATTTACAAAACAAGATCGAATTTTAATTTCTATAGAATGTTGAATCCGATAAAATTCATTTTTATTTAAAACAATGTTCATTCTTAGCCATAATGTTTGCTGGTTTATTATTATCTTTTATTGGATTATTACTTGCACCATTTATGCTTGCTTTTGCTGGTGTTGTTTCATTCGATAAGAAAAGAAGTAGTTATCGATTTCGTTCTCGTCGTCATCGTCGTTAATAGTTTTTTTTAATATACAAGTCAATAAAAAAAAATTTTTAGTATAAAAAATGAAATATTTGAGAGATTGAAAAAATATATTCTCTAGTTATCTTTCGTTACATTATGATAGTATTTTGATTGTTGAGAAGAAATGGTCGAAATATCTAACATATGATTTTGAAGTACATCCTATTGAATTTAAATGAATGTATACTTGGAAATATTCTCAGACTAAAAGTAATATGATGTAAATTAATTGGAGTATGTTTTCCTAAAATCTATCTTATTGAATCAGATCATTCTCTGTCTCCTCCTATATCTATTTAATAGATTCTCCTTAGTATTTGTAACTACTTTCGAAGCTGTAAGAGGAAGTGTTTGATAAAAATGTTTTTTTATTGATAATATGCTTTATTTTTCTAAAGAGTAAACACCGAAACACAACAACATAAAAAAAGATAAATAAATCGAGACAATGTTCATTTTTCTATTCTTACACTCTTTGATCTTAAATTTTAATTAAAAACGTCGTCTAAATAAAATACAAAAGGTCTTATGAGAATAAGGGCATTTTTTTATCCTCATAATTACATTCAAGATAAAACCAACAACAAAGAAATTATGCGTCTTTAGAGCTCATTAAAACGATTATTTTTGGCAAATTGAACATTTAATTGTAAATTCAACGAACAGTAACATTTTGTTGTGTTTGTCGTGTTTGTCGTGTACGAGCTAAATCACCTACAGTAACCACATTTGTTCTTCGTTTAAAGAGAAAATCCTTTATTTTGTTAACTATTTCAGGCATACCAAATAAGCATGTTGCTGGTAATATAAGTGGCATATAATATAAAATATATTCCAATGTAGTATATTGATCGATCATAAATAAAGGGTCTACAGTCATTTGAATAAGACTTACTGTTACAAGAGGTGACCAAAGTGCTATATGAAGTGTCGAAATTGCCCAAAATTGTAATATCATTTTACGATGTCGTCGCCAGTCAATACCTGGTTGACGAGACATTTTTCCTTTGATTACTCGAATAATTAATAAAATATTTATCAAAACATTAAGTAGAAGAGGAACACTAACATTAGAAATAAAATCATATATACCATAAGTTCCTGTATAAGTGTAACAGGGTGGTCCACAAAGAAGTGTTCCAAAGTCCCATGCATTTGTACATTGTGCAGGAAAGACAACTAAGCCGAGATAGACAATTGGTGGCCATATAAGACAAATAATGATGGGTATATAATGAAATAATAATTTTCTCCATTGTCCACGAAGTAATTCTTGAGAATGAAAAACAAGTAAATGTCTTTCAATTGCTATCCATACCATTAAATATAATGCTATTGCATCAGCAGAAAAACTCCACCATACCCACGCTAAACAAAATGCATTTGATTCAGGCCAAACTCTTTCTCGATAATAAAAACTCATCGCTACAGGTAAATCTAATATTAATTGTAAGAAATTCATAGACAATAAGACAAGCCAACTATGATGTTGTCGTTTCAAACGAATTCTTGGATTTTGAGCAAAATATATAAATATAAACATTGAAATGGCAATTGCTTGCATTTCAAAGATAAAGGCTAGAGAAAATTCAATATAATATACCATGTTTTACAGAAAATAAGATGAATTAAAAATGATGCGTAGTAAAATAGAAAATACCACTTTTTA